CCATCTCTCCAGCCCAAGAGGAGTCTTTCTTGAGGTGACAGTTCTCAAACTTTAAATTGAGATGCTAAGCCAAGAAAATTACCTTTCGCTCAATCTTTTTTTTTTTTTTTTAATTTATGGGTGCCATCTTGTTTTTTAGTACCATAGTAATGGAATCCTTCCTTATAATGCTCTTTTCTGGTACTTTACTGACGTCTTACGGTCATCTGGAAGCTCAAGGCTAAGCAATGGAGTATGTTCTGCAGTTTCTATCTGTTATGCTTTGTGTCTGTTTGTCTCCCCAAAGCCTCATGCAATCATCGGGGTGGCTTCTAGAGTTTGTGATTAATTCGGGATCCAGTGAGGGGATTATGGGTGTGAATGCTACCCAGCCCTGCGGTGGTTAATCTCCATGCAATATGAGGAAGAGAGAGAGGCTGGCTCGCAGCCACAGCCGCTGCTCCACCCTTTGCTGTTGTCCACCGCCGTGAACTGCTGCCCTCTGCCATGTGCCACTCTGCCTTGATGCCTGCCAAGTATGGGCCGAAATCTCCACAAGCTCTGAGCTAAATAAACCTTTCCTTCTTTAATTTTGGGTGTTAGGTATTTTGTCCCAGCAACGAGAGAGAAGTAACTGAGATACCATCTCTGTACACATTAAGTTAATCAAGCCAGATTCTGGGAATCATCCCTGTGTCATGGGTTTTGGCTGTAGATTGCATGAATTTGAACTGGGAATCCACAATTTATTAGCTGTTTAACCTTCTACAGTTTACCTGCTCTTTGCTTCCATTCTTCACCCATGAAATGGCTTGTAGGATTGTTCTCAGCATTAAATGGTGTATTCTGTGTATTGCCTTAGAACAGCCTTGAATGGAGGAAGTGGTTAGTGACTGCTCAGTAGCTGGTCAGATCCATTACAGTTAGCTGTGATTTTTCCCTATCCCTGATTCTTTAAATCCAGTTGGTTAGAAAATTATGTGTATTCTCCCTTGAAAATATGTATTTTTAATTTACCCACTTTCCCCAGTTTCCATTGACATCATCTTGTAAGCTACACTCTTCCTTTGGATTCTTAACTCCTTCCTCTTGTCTCCAGTTCATTTTCTGTGTAAAAACCAAATGATCTTTTGGGGGTGCAAGTGAGTAATCATTAAAAATGTAAACATCACCTTACTGCTTCAAATTCTGACCTTGATTTATACTCTCTGTATATTTGGTTCCTGCCTTCTCTCTGAGTGGTGCTGTTGTCACTTCATCTCCAAACTTACCCATTCACCTGCTCCTCTGTGGATTACTGGCTGCCTCTCAGTGTTTGAGTAGCCGTCCTGCTACCCCTCAGGCCCTGTGTGTGACCTCCCTGTCCCAAGAAGGAGACTGTTCCCCTTTCCCAATCTCTCACCCTTATTGCTACATGTGTTAATTCCCCACAGCGCCTTCCCTAACCACCTCACCTAAATCCTGGTATCTACCGTAGGAGTCCCTTGATTGAGCAAGCTCTTCCTTTTACCAACCTGAAGCACCTCAAACCCATTAACCCTTACTGTTTCCTCTCTATTGGGAAACTATTTAATCTGTGATTATTAAGCACATAACGCTATGTAGAGTGCATGCTTTGTTTAGAAAGATAAATTTGACACATTATGAATGCTAGGTGGCTATAGAGCTATTTTAAGAAATTGCTATTTCAAAATTGTGCAAGCTAGATTTCTGATAGTGGTATTGAAGAACAAAGGCGTGAAGGAGCCCTTCTATGGGATGCATCTGCAGTAGGGATGGAGTTGTGATTGGCCCACTCACTTTTGTAGGTCATGGCTACTTCAAAGACTGCAGTAGAGGTCATCAGATTTTCTTTTTTGAAGAATGAAATTATTAGGTTGCTCATTGAAGCCTTCATGCCTGTCTCTCCAAAAGTGAATGATCAGTGGCTGGTCAGATGTGAGAAAAGAGGTTTCCTAATCAGTGGAAACCAGTGTGGTTTTGATAAGAACAGATACTACACTTGATCTTAGCCAAAAGGCCGAGAAGTGATCCTGGTGGTGTTTGAGTTCAGAGTAAAGAGGTAGAAGAATGACTTTCTGCCTGCTCCAGGAAATAGCTCTGGGCTTTCAAGGTTTTTTCCTTGTTACTTGTTTTTAACTAGTCTAGAGTAGGGAGATGTTCTTGGTTTTTCAATGTCCTTAGGCACCCAGGAAAGAGGTCTTGGGAATTTAGAATCAAGATACATTTTTCATTCAAATAAGAGACTGTTATGAATTATAAAGGACACTGGTACAGATGCTCCAATTTCGGACAATCAGCAAAAATGGGGTGCATGGCAGTTCTTTCTGTGCCCATTTGGCTGAATGGTGTTTTTGATTATGTAAAAATGGGGTTTTTATGGGCGAAAAGACTACTTTTTTTGTTGGTATTCTGTGACAGAACTCATACAGAAATATTTTTTGTTATGGACTAGATAGTGATTGTCTCATAGTAAAGATAAAATGAAAAATGAGTTTTCTATTTGACCTGTGCCACAATCAAGGAAACTTTTTGTTCTTCTTGCTGCCCTGGAGATATTCCTATGCATGTCTTATTTTTGCGGTTGCAATCAGGCAGTGATAATTTTCAATTCTGACTTTTTGTGTCAATTTTTATATCTCATTTTGAATGGTTATATAGCAATCTATTAAGAATTTATAATTTGTTAGTCATTCCCTTAATTGCGTTGTTTGTTTTATGATGTATGTTTGTCTAATGTATTTTTAACGATGTCTTTTGTTCTCATTTTGCAGGCAGAGACATTTGTTTGGGTTAACAATGCATCCGCACATTCCCAGAGCGTTGCCAAGGCCAAATATGAATTTTTATTTGGCAGATCTGAGGACAAAACTCCACATACCAGTAAGTATTTCCCAGCTCTTCTTCCCCTAGGGTAAAAAATAGTCAGCACTGCTGATTCCTGAGTGTTTTTTCTTCATGTGCATGACTTCCTTTCTCCCTCTGTACAGCCTGTTTGCACTCATCATTCATGAAAGCAATTTTCCCAAGATGTGGGATTTAGAAATATTGGATGTATTATAGCTGGTGCCCAGTGCCATCATGTTTTTATTTGAAAGCATTCTCTGTTTCTGACATATGACGCTTCAAGAATTCACTAATTTGCATAAAGTTTTCGTTTTCCACATTTCCCATTGTTGCTTCTGTCTACTACCTCATTATTGATACTCATTTTTTTATCTTTTATTTTAGTTTCTAAGATTTTTTTTGTCTCTTTGAGACAGGGCCTCTCCATGCAGTTCAGGCTGGCCTTGAGCTCGCTCTTTAGCCCAGACTGGTCTTGAGCTTGTGGTGATCCTCTTGTCTCTACTATCTGAGCTCTAAGATTATAGGCATGTGCCACCTCCAGCTAAGGTTCTCATTCTTAGCAACCAACATATGTTATGTATTTGCAGACAGTAAAATCCTAATCTGGAGGATTATCATAGCTTTTGTTCAAAAAGATATTGATTGGGACCAGGGACATAGCTCAGTGACATAAGCACCTCCCTGGCAAGTGCAAGGACCTGAGTTCAATCCCTGGTGCTGAAAAAAAAAAAAAAAAAAAAAAAAAGAAAGAAAAAAGAAAAAAAGATAGTGGTCTAATCTAGGGGTTGAATTCTAGTTTAATTCAAAACTGGTAAACTTACGATACAGTGAACTATGACCAGTATTATTCATAGTGATCTCAGTAACTATTTTATTAGATTACTTATTGTGTGGCAAGGAGAGCTTTATCCTCATTTTTCAGATGAGGAATCTGAAGTAGTTTCCTTACATGATCACCACTCATACAGCGAAATAGTGACTTTGTCACTTCTGTCTGTCCTCAGAGCGCACTGTGTCAACCTATTGAGGCAATATATTTTAAAGGCACTTTTCTAAAAGGAGCTACAAGATTAAAAATACAGTTTACAGAGTTTTAAAGCATGTGTCTGAGAGGCTGACAGTGAAGGAGGTGTCATCGTCGTTTCTTAGAATTTAGACAAAGAGGGACTTAGGGAGAGTTCTGAGCTGGGCTTTCTGAGTTTGACTTCTGTCCTTGTACTTTGCAAATTGCATGACCTTGTTGCCTGATTTCAGTTTTCTAGTTGATAAATTGGGGTCATTTCAGAATTGTTCTGAAGACTTGCAGGTCGATGTGTAAAGGCTCTCAGACTCAGGGTTCATGTATAACAAATGCTATTAAAGTGTGTGTTTCTCTTGTTCGTTAGGATGACGATCCTGAGGATGTCTCTTCAGTTTACATCCCTGACTTTTCTGTTCTGGGTGAGCAGGGAATTTGACCTAACGTGGTTGTTGTTCTGTTGAAAAAGCCAAGTAATAACAGCACTCGTCAGACTTGTGTATTCATCGGGATTATATGATAATCTCATAATACTTGGGAATGCCAAGACACTCATTTTTACCTAGCCATTTAATAATTCTTTTTCTCATAACATGAACATTTCTTACCTATATCAATAGTTGGAAGTCTAATTTTTTTTTTTTAGGACAATGTTTCAATTTGGAGGAGTCTGTGTTTTACACTGTATCTTGTTTTTACTGTCTAGTGTAGCCATTTATAGATGTTTGGCTTAAGGTAAAGACCTAAGTATTTTGAGCTAAATGTTATATTCACTATTTCTCAGACGGAAGATATTTATAGTCACCTTAAGACTGTTTACTATTCCTTGGCACAACTTTCACTTTGAATACTGGTTTGTTATTTTATGTTGACTAAGCTTTTTTTAAACTTTGGTATAGCAATTTTTTTTTTACTTAGCTTTATAGAGAATATGTCAAATGTCTGTAGTTCTGTGTTATTAGTGGACAAGTTTGGCTTTTTCTTACTCAACGATTTTGAGTAGTTTTTCCCATACAGTATTTCCATCTCAGAGATGTCATGCTGAGGCCAACCAATATGACGTCTTACACTTTCTGTTTCTTATTTGTTTTGATAAAAATGGTTCGTGGTGTTTGGCAGAAATGGCGGTATAAAGTTATTTTGCAAGTACGGCAGTATGAGTGCACTTGTAGAACATATATTTATTTGTTTGGCGAGAAATACTGAGTCTCTAATGGCACTGGTGTGGGAGAGGACTGGTCATTTTTAGTAGGAATGCTGATAACTTCACAGAGGAAGCTGAAGTTCAATTTGGCCTTGACTGGAAGTCCGAGTGAGTTTGTGGAGGGCACTTTAGGCTGAAGGAGTAGTGTATGGCAGATATTATGAATTATTTGGGGAACTGAGAGGAGATAGTATGGTTAGTTTGCAAACATTATGCATGAAGGAAGGGGTTACAAAGATTACCCTTTAGAGAGAAGCCCTATCATGTAGAGCCTTCTAAGGTAAAAGTTACATTGGTTCAGGTAGGTAGAGAGGAAATGACTCAAGTACTGCTTCAGACAGACCAGTGGAGAGAGAATAATCTTAAAATTGTGCAGGTGCAGCAACTCTTGCTTTTGGCAGGAGGCTAAGCTGTCACTTGATACTGCTTTTTGGAAATGACTCTTCACATTGTCACAATAAAAGGTGTGCATTTTTATCATTTTAAAGGTGTTCTTTGATGTTCTTTTGTACAGAACATCAGTTTGTCATCAAAATACTGCTCCAACCCAGAAGGCCACGGGAACAGTAGTAGAGATAATAAGATAGTCTTGTGTTAGAATTTGATGATAGACCTACTTCATCTAGCTTAGATTTTTAAAAACTGTGTTCAGCTGGCTAGGGTGATGCTCATTTGTTGTCCTAGTCCTTTGGGGAACCGAAGCAGGAGGGTCACAAGTTTAAACTCAGCAATTTAGCAACTTGATGAGACCTTGTCTCAAAAAAAGGTGGGGTAGGGGTGTGTTTAAATGAATACTGAAAGCTGTCCCCAGGCTGTTGTTTCTCTTTTGGATATTTCTTACTCTTGCAGTTTTCATACTCTTTCATGGACGGGAGGACTCTGTTAGAGAAGGGGAAATGTGTTGTCACTTTTGAATGGAACTGCAGAAATGTTCAGCAGGCAGCAGCTCAGGTACCCCAACCCAGTGGCGCAGTCAGGGCAGGTGAGGTTAGTTGGATTGAAATCTGCAGTGACATCTAAAGAGAATGTTGTAGCTGTCCAGGGAGACAAGGCTTCCTTTGCCTCTGAGCAGGAATTCAGCATAACTCGCAGTCAGAAGGTCCTAGAGAAAACAGTTCACAAGTATTTGCAAGCTGTTACTTAGTACAGAACTTCAGAGTCTGTGACCAGAGCTTAGGATAGTGACGGTAAACTTATGGCACTTGTGCCACTGTGAGCTGTTTATTGTCACTGAAAGCTCCAAAAGGTTCACCACCCATGGCCTGGGGGTTGGCTGGGTCCCCAGAGGATGTGTGATCAGGAGGAGGGATCCATTGGCTGGTAAGTAAGCTCTGCATTCTCATGATCTATTCATCGAAACAGTGAAAGCAAAGACCGACCCATGCTTCTCTAGTTTCTAGTCCTTGTTATTTTAGGGCCAGTAGCCCAGCCATTGGGACATTTTCTAGGGCAGGAGCAACAGTAATTGTGAAGAGGCTGTGTGTGGGCTAAAGGGACTGTGTGCCCCAGAAGTGGTCCTGGGACGTTAGTGAGGAGACAGCAAGGTAAAAGGAAGTTGTATCCAGGGCTGGAGTGTGGCAGGAGGAGGACGTGGTCTGTGGGGACTCAGCCATGTTGGATCAGGGCCACGATAATTTAGTTCTATAGTACAACTACTACATACTGTAGTGTGTACTCAGACCATCTACATTTAGATATTTCATGTATAACCGTGGTCTTTTGTGATTGGCTTTTTTTCACTTAGTACAATGATTTCATTATACTGTAGCATGTGCCACTACTTTTTTTGGGTCAGGTGGGTGGAATAGCGTTCCATGACATGGACAGGCTTTGCTTCGTTCATCCCTTCAACACTTCTTGTATATTTGGGTTGCTGCACTACGTGGCTGTTGTTTAGTGTTGTGAATAATGGTATTAATATTTCTGCGCAGCTTTTGGGGGATATATGATTTGATTCCTCTTTGAGTACCTAGAGGTAGAACTGCTGAGGCACTTGGTGATTCTATATTACACTTTTTGAGGAACTTCTAGATTATTTTCCACAATTGTGGGACCATTTACATTCCTATCACCAGTGTAGAAGGGTTCTGGTTTCTCCATATTGTCTTGTTTACAGTCTTTTTTTTTTCTTTTTTTTAAAACTATAATCATCCTTGTGGAAGTGGAGTGCTATCTCATTGTGGGGTTTTTTGGTGCGTGTTTCCTCAGTGCCTAATGATCTAGGCCATCCCTTAATGTGCTTATTGACTTATTGTATATTTGCCTTTGGAGAAGTATATATTGAGATCTCTTGCTTGCTTGCCTGATTGATTTAAGTACGGAGATTGGACCCAGAGCCTTCACATAAGCTGCATCCACACTTTATTTATTTATTATGTTGAGATAGGGTCTTGCTAAGTCACTAGTTGCCCAGGGTGAGCTTATAGTTACCATTTTCTTGCCTTAGCCTCCCAGAGAGATGGGATTACAGATGTGTACTTGTCTGTTTTTAAAATTGGTTTGTCTTTTTGTGATTGAGTTGTAGGAGTTCCTTGTATATTCTATATCTGCATCATTTATTACGTACATGGTTGCACAGTGTTTTATTCTCACGTATGCTTGTTTTTTCACTTTCTTGCTAGTATCGTTTGTAGCACTTAAAAAATTTTTGATACTAAATTTCTCTACGTTCTTTGTTGCTATGTGCTGGGGTGTGGGGAGGAACCATTGCTCAGCACAAGGTCCAGATTTATTCCCACATTTTCTTCCGAGTTTCATAGTTCTCTTATGGTAAGTCTGTGATCCCTTTTGAGCTCTGTGTTGCTTATGTTCAGA